GAGGCTTAATGGGACATTTTGGAGTTAGAAAAACTTTAGATATTTTGAATGATCACTTCTTTTGGCCACACATGAAACGTGATGTTGAAAGGATCTGTGAAAGGTGCATAACATGTAAACAAGCAAAATCTAGAGTTTTATCACATGGTTTGTATACTCCTTTACCCATACCTATTGAACCTTGGGTTGATGTGTCTATGGATTTTGTTTTGGGCTTACCAAGGTCAAAAAGAGGCCACGATTCTATTTTTGTTGTTGTTGACAGGTTCTCGAAGATGACACACTTCATTCCATGTCATAAAACTGACAATGCAACCAATATTGCGGATCTATTCTTCAAGGATGTTGTTCGTTTACATGGCATTCCAAGGACTATCGTTTCTGATCGCGATGTCAAGTTCGAGTTACTTTTGGAAGACATTGTGGGGAAAGCTGGGAACTAAGCTACTGTTTTCGACTACTTGTCATCCATAAACTGATGGACAAACAGAAGTGGTTAATAGGACGTTGTCAACCTTATTGCATTCTATTATTTAGAAGAACTTGAAGAACCGGGAAGAGTGTTTGCCGCACATTGAATTTGCTTATAATCGGAGCGTCCATTCGGCAACTAACTGTTCGCCATTTGAAGTTGTGTATGGTTTTAATCCACTCACTCCTTTAGATTTATTGCCTTTACCTATTGACGAACAAGATAGTTTGGATGGGAAAAAGAAAGCTGAAGTGGTTAAGCAACTGCATGAAAGGGTGCGACAAAACATAGAGCGACGAACTAAGCAATATGCAAAACAAGCCAACAAAGGACGCAAGAAAGTTGTATTTGAACCTGGAGATTGGGTTTGGGTGCATATGCGCAAGGAGCGATTCCCTGCACAAAGGCGTTCTAAGCTACAACTAAGAGGTGATGGACCATTTCAAGTGATTGCAAGGATTAATGACAACGCATATAAGTTGCACTACTAGAAAAATGACGTATACGGACCGAACATATACGGACCGAATAGTTTCGGTCCAAATAAATAAATATCCAAACCAATATCGGTCCAAACATATTTAGGTGGTCCAAAGTATACTACTGAACATATTCGGACTGGTATCGGTCCGTATATTTCTAGCGGGAATCCACAATATCAAAGCGCCAATAATATTCACACCGAAAACGGTCCGAATATTATTTCTGAAAAAAATAAATATTAAATAACAAAAAATATGAATTAAATATTA